CTCTTATAAACGAATTGAAATATACAGGGTAGGAAAGTACCGATGGTCTATCTGAAGTTACGTGAGAGCGATAAAGTAAGCCATAGAAATCCATGCGATAGAGAAGGATGGCTATAATGAAGGCGTCTCTTAGTCACCGCCCGTTTCGCCCTTCCACTTCTTATTTGTGGAAGGGCGAAATGGACGTTGACTATTAGACGCCTTCATTATAGCCATCCTTGTCTATCACATGGATTTCTATGGCTTACTTTATCGCTCTCACGTAGCTTCCGATAGACCATCAGTACTTTCCTACACTGTAGAGTTACCCATCAGGAATCGCCATTATCAATATCTCGGAAAGTACTGATCCGAAAAATCTGAAAATTTGGCAATCTTGCAAAGGCTGTAGGGCCAACACAGCTAAAATATTTACAAAACTTTATGGTACTTCCGGTTATACTGGAAGTCAACATTAACTTTATTTTAAATAGAACACCCTCTACATATTGTATTATTACATTTTAGGATTCTATGTGAAATTTGAGGGTTACTGTATTTCCTATACCTAGGAGTTATAGATTTTGAGATATTAATTTTTAAAGAAAAAATTTGACATTGAGAAGCTACTCTTTTCAGGAGTGTGATATCAAGTGGAATTTGACCTGTAAAGGTAACATTAAATTATGGCATACCAATAAATTAAAACATTTAATACTAGGTGTTTCATTTCTGTTGTTATATTTTGATATCTTCAAACAACTATAATATAGTTAACTTAAATGGAACACCCTGTATTTTTTTACTCTGTTGTATGCAGAATAAAATTTTTCCTTTCAAGCCATATAAGCATTGTTAGGGTTGCCGTTACTACTTTTAGAGATATTTGCAATTTTCAATTTTTTGGACAATTTTTGTAGTATCAGACCTGTTATCAAATTGGCCATGACCAGAAACACTACAAAAACAATTAATTAAAATATATGTTGTGTCTGTAATAGTTTTTGACTAAACCTTAAATAAAAATGCCCGGGGATAATTTAAATTATACTAATGAAGATTATTTTAATTTGTTTGTTATTTATGAACAATGTGGCAAAAGTAATTTCAAGAACATGTAGATAATTTGCTGCTTGTTCCATTTAAAATAAGAGTTAATGTCGGCATCTGGTATAACCGGAAGTGCTATAAAGTTCTAAATATTTTAACTGTGTTGGCCCTACTGCCGTTGCTAGTTTGCCAAATATTTATTGGATGAGTTCTTTCCGAGATATCAATAGTGGGACACCCTGTATAGGCTTAAGAGTAGAGATGAGAAATTCGGCTCATTCTGTTGACCTAGTTAACTGGGTTCTGAGTTAAGGAGAAAATAAGAAATAAAAAAAGAAACTTTAACACCCTGTAACTTTTTTTTGCAACATTTTTCGTTAAAGCAAGTCTGGTTAAATCACACCATTTAGGTTCTACATTATACCTCTGAAGTATGTAACATTCTTTAGGTGACACCCTGTATATTTAAAAGATGAAAATTCGTCTAGATGTGAAAATAAAGTTTTTACATTTTCATATTTCTTACGCTTGTAAACATATAAATATTCTAAAGTAAATAGATGCGTTAATTTTACACATTGTACAAGGTTAAAAATAACATGATTAGCAGTGATTAAAAATCACATTAGAGGTAATGTAGACTATCGCAACATGAGTCATCCTCAATAAGGCTAACAGTGTGAAAATACATACAAGTATTTAGCTCAACTGTAAAGGCAAGTAATAAACAAGGTTACGGCCTAATTTTATTAATATTACATTTTCTTTATTGCCAGTTTTTATTTTGTTTATCATTGGCAAACATCTATAATTAAATCAAACCATACAGATTTAATATAGAATAGATTTCAGGTTTTTTTATAAGGTCTCTTAAATAACTGAATGTGAATAATGATGATGTCACCCGCCTGTCATTCATGGAGATTTATTATTTATAAACTAGAAACAATGAATGCACACAGATAACAGGAATTGATGTAATACTGTTTTGAAGGTACAAAAATAAAAAATTTATCACATAATCAGAACAAAATTGATTTTAAACACAGAATAAACAAATTCGTCCACGTTATCAGGTTATTTTTAATCATTGCACTAATTTTAAAATTAAAATATTTTAAAAAATAAATATTTAATACTGATATATGAGCAGATTTTATATCTTACCATATTCAAAGTTAGCAAGTGTATTATCTTTGGAAGAAATGGATTGCTTCAAAAATGTTGTCATCGAAACTGTACTCTCATCTCCATATATTTTAGAATTGCAATTCCAATACACGGCTAAAGCTTCTAAACCAACAATCTACAAAGAACAATAAATTGTAAATTCACTCAAGAAATTAAAATAGATTAATGTCTACCTTGTATATTTTCACCGTATCACTAGCAATAGCTTTTTGCCAGTTAGCATCTGTGCTTTCAATAAGTAAAGTATGTAGTGACAACCCACATGCGAAGGGCACATCCGGATTGGTAACTTTGTCTTCATATCTGATGTGGATGTTTGTTACTTTCAACTGAACATTTTTTATGATGGTGGTAATCAGTTTTTCTATAAAAGTAGCATCTGGTTTTGGCTTACCTGAAATTTATATAAGAATTAATTCAATTAAAGACAATGTCCTATACATTTTCAACCTTTTTCCGCTTCAGCCTTTTTTGCTACTTCAATATTTTCTAATTCTTTTTTCTTTGCATCAAATTTGTTTTTTTCTTCTTTAACTGGATCATATTTAACTTGCTGGTTTGGTGCTGCCAGAAGTAGAATATTGTCCACCTCTATCACCCATGGAGAAGTATACAAACTTTTCCAAGGTATTTTTAGTAAAAGTTTGCCTAAAACACATTTTGTGGAGTAATATTTAAAAGATAAAAATTAGTAAAGTAGTATTTACCTATAGATCCATATACTGTCTGTATAGGTAAATCCAGTTCATCTAAAGCAGAAGGCTTTATTATCAAATTTCTTAATTCCACATCACCTAAAAATAGTGTTTTTGTTATGGAAGAAAAATTTGTAAATTAAAATAGGTACCTCCCCATATTCCAACAGACAGCTGTTTTGCATCTAAATTTTCCACAAAATCTCCCAAAAACTTATTTAAAACAGCAGATAAAGTGCTTTCAAAAACCATCTCTACTTCATTTATTTATCTATAAACTAAACTGAATGTTTAACCAGACAGTTGCATATTTTTAAATGGGGTCTATTATTGATGATGACATCATAACAAGGTTATCTTCGGAAATACGTTGTATAATTTGACCTTTAATAAAAACTTCTTCGTGAGGAACTTACAAGTTATGTTTAATTATTGTTAATGCCGGTAAATTGTAATCACAAAAAATTTTCACTGTAGTTTTAACTCTTACTGTTGACGTCTGACATTGATATTTGAAATTGAAACACTGAAAACAATAAAAATCATTAGACTAGAACAACCAATAATAATCATTAGCCACCACAAAACAGAGATATAGAGTGGGGAGAATGCTCTTACAATCTGCGCGAGCGGCTAATAACCTCAAGCTTTATATGTTTTGTGCCTCAGAGTAATGTCTGAGCTAATAACAATCGTCGCCATTTTGAACATCATAGTTGCCAACACAGATAAATTTTAAGGAAATTTAAATAGGAACAGGGAGAGGCAAATTTAAAATGCAATACCAAAAATAAAAATTCAAATTATATGAGCAACATTTTTGAATTTAATAGGTTTTTTTCAGAAATTGGTAAATATCTAAAAAAAAAAAATCTATTTTGAAATATAAAGATAAACTAGTATAAACAAATAATAATGATTTTGCATATTTTATTTATTGATGATTAAATAATATTAACTTAGTTGTTTTCGTATTAGATGTCCCTGAATTTTTTTAGTAGATTTGCCTAAATTAAAAAATCTTATTCGCATATATGCAGAAACAATACTTTTCGTTAGAATTAATAAATGTGCTCTATTAAACTAAAGAACATAGTTCTGCTGCACAATTATAAATTTGTTGTACCACAGAAGCAACAAATACAATCATGAAATCCTTTTCATGTGGCAATTTATTTTCAGTGAATACTAAAAGTTGTCTTATTGCGCTAATTCTGAATATTTTTTTAAAATTTTATCAGGTGATATACTGAAATAATGTAACATGTAAGCTAAGTAATATAGTTATTGGTTGGGGTTGGAGACAAAATACATGTAACGCGTATAACTCGCATAACCTAATTACTGTTTTTTCTATGATGTACATACCTATAACTATGTTCGGTTTGAAAAAACTTTATACGTTTTCTCCTTGTGCTGCTATCAGTACTTATAGAAGTATCTTGACTAGATAACAATTCACCAAAATAATAATATACACTGCCAGGGAAAATAATATTTATTTAAAACAATTAGTATTAACAAAACATAAAATTACCAATGGTTCTGGTTAAGCTTAGAACGCTCTGCCGTATCATCTAATGACATCAATGAAGCAAATGGAGCATTATTTTGTATAGGATGTAATGTTTCAACTGAACTTGTGGATGGAGCGTCGGCTTTATTAGTTAAAAAGACTTCTAAATTTGGAACTGCATCAGGCTTTAGGCGAATTTGACTTCCAGCATTCAGAAAATCTTTTTTTATTTCTCTGACCATTTAAAATCGTGATCAAGTCTCAGACTTTCTACCCATTTTATAAACACCCCTCGGAAAGCAATAGTTGTTGCAAGAAATAAATTCATAAAACCACTCTTACCGATGAAATGTAATTCCTTTTGGTTTAAAACGCCTTATGTTAAAAAGCACTCCTTCACAGCATGCGACATAACAAAAACAATAAAGGATAAATGTTTTCCTTAGTGTGGAAACGATGTAATGAATATTAAAAAACGTCCACAGCGCCAATTTGCCGCTCCAGGCGTAAATTATACGTATATAAACAAATAGTAACTAAAAAATAATTCACGAAACATAACCTTGCTCACTTCTCAAAAATCAAAACAAAACAAATTCATGTTCATAGACAATAAGGGTTTTTTGGCGAGCCAAACCACATCAAACCCGGTTAGCTCGAGTTTGATTGTGTTAAGAGTTTGAGTTAACATTTGACAGAACTCGCAAAAATTCTTTTAGTTTGGATATCTAATCAATAATAAAATTACCGTAACCTATAATCTATGATAGTGCTCGTAGCTCAAGTTGTTTGATTATTTCTTATATACTACAATTGTTATTCCTAATCTGAAATGCACATCCCTGAAATAACGTTAATGTATAGACGGTTATTAAATCAAAATGGGTTTACCTTTTCACAAATAACTATTCCCACGTAAATGTATCGTCTAAAAGGAAGTTAATAAAGATCTATACAGTGCAATATAGAATATGCATATCTACGATTAAAGTTATTTGGATCCTCGATTACTATTTTTTTATTATCAATTTTAAATATTACTTTGTATTTTTTGCAAAGTTAATCCATTATCAAATTTTTTTATTTACAACTTATACCTATCCAAACCTCTAAAAAAAACGAAGTAGTGACTAGGTACGATGGTACGAAACAGAAAATAAATAAACAAAGATAGAAATATTAACTTAATATCCAAACCAACCCACAAGTCCGGTTTGATGGTTAGGCAAACTCTGCCAAACCGGGTTAACTACATTTCTCGCCAAAACGTCTAACCTCAACAAACTATAGTTAACCGGGTTAGCGGTTTTCTCGCCAAAAAACCCTTAATGACAGTTCATGTTCAAAATCGCGGCACTGTTAGTGTCCCTCGAAAATAGGATGCGCAGAAGTCAATGAGCTTTCTCCCTACTCTATATCTCTGGTTTATAGAGTATACTCAAAGCTGCCACCTAGGAAACAATAGGTCAATTATTCTCTAAGAAATTGAAGGTACCTGAGTAATTATCTAGATGTCTCTCAAAACTGTTAACTGTCAAATATACAAGTAAACATCTTAACAATCAGTTGTTATGGCTGACTGACTGATTAAAGTTTGTCAAATCAGTTACCAAAATTCTAGTGATTACTCTACAGCTCCATTCAAGAAATCGTCTAAAATTTTCACACAAAGTTTACACAGTCAAAAGTTGCAGTGTTAGTTCAACAGTATCTCCATGTCCACTTTTATATTGTTTAATTGCGTCATGTCATTAGAACCTTGACTTATGAAGGTTTCGGAGAATTAAAAAAGATTACGTTTGATTAATCTTATTGCCAAATATCATTGACATCAGTGTGTATATGTAAACAAAATAGTTAAAGAGGCGAAAATATGAGCAGCGTAAGGTGCAGTTTGGCATCCGCCGGCAAGTATGCCTTTGCGGCAAGAAACACCAAGTTGCAACATGGTAAGTGCACTATTTTTTTACCAGAGGCACAAATAAAGAAATCAGTTATTCAAGTGTGAATTTGTCGTAAATTATCTTAAAAAGTACAAGCGAAAGTTTCGACTTTCATTTTCTGTACGTTTGTTTAAGTCGTTGACAAACAAAAAGACATATCTGTACCTTCTTAATATAATATCTCTACATTTTTTTTATTTCAATTTGGCACCTGCAATACTTATGCGACTCCCTACTCCAATCCCCTACGCAGTAAAATCAGAATAAACACGTTAATGCCGTTAATAAAAATTTTTTAGATTCGAAACGTGGCAGTTCTCTCGTACGAGATAACTATTTTTACATGCTGATTTAGATAAAAAAGAGGTAATTAATGTGATAACTACATCGACCCGCGAATTGACTAATCATAATCAAGATCATTTTTTATTTTCCTAATAGATAATTTTCTGTTTAGGCACATGTGGTATTTGTCTGTGTTTGCTTGTATGTAGTTATAGTTGTGTTTCATATACAGGGTGGGCCACCAGTAACGCCTCGGTCGCTAGTGACCAAACGGCAAATGTTACAGAAACCTGTATAGGTGGGTATGTGTAGGTTGACCTCGATAAAGACAAGTGGATACATCTTACAAAAATATCGATAAAAAACGAAACGGCACAAATATCTCCAAAACCGTTAGAGATAGGTATAAAAAACCTATACACAATTTGAAAGAGTTTTAAATTTCCCAACTCCCAAAGTAAAAATATACTGGGTGTTCCATTTAAAATAACCAAGTTATTGCTGTTTAAAGTTGAGAGAAGTATTCAGCAGTTTTTTGAACACCCTGTATAATACTAAGTGACCACAAATATAACAATTTATAACTTCAAGGATCTAAAATAGACCCTCCAAAGCTGCTTCCTTAAAATTATTTTTTTATTGCTAATATTAAATTTCTACGCTAAGCCTGCATTTTCACTAAAATTGAAATATCTCACAAACAATAGGTCCTAGGTATGCAGAACCTTTAATAAAATTCACCTATTTTTTTACGGTGTTTTTAAAAATGCATTAAAATACAGGGTGTTCCATTTAAAAAACATAACTTTGATATGGTACGCTTTTCCTGGGCACCCTGTATATTTCAAAATATTTTTAAAATGTAGCCGTAATCAACCTACACATACCCACTTAAACAGGTTTCTATAACATTTGCCGTTTGGTCACTAGCGACCGAGGCGTTACTGGTGGCCCACCCTGTATTTAATTTCGAAAATTTATATTTGAAATTATTATTTTTTTAGTGTTAAACGATGTAAAGAGGCTGATAAAAGTGATCAGCTTCATATTTACTTAAAAAATGTTATTACCCTTTTTTTTCAAAAGGCAGTATAATTTTTTTTCAATATTTAAATGATTTAATTAATTTTGTTTCACCCTATTCTGCAATGTGCTTCGATTGCTTAAAATACATCCTAAAAACCTGTATATTTTAAGACCTACCTACTGTATATACTTAATTTTTTCAAAATTCTAAGCCCAATACGAATTTACTTATACTTAAGTATCGATTTTTGAACATTTGTGTTCGCAACTTTTTTTAAACCGAAATTTAATAACACGACGTTATTCCACACCCTGAAGTAATCATGTTTCTCCAATGCAATGCAAATAACAATACAGTGTACAATGTAAACTGATAAAATTTATTCCTTTAAATTATTATTGGTGGGTCACTCAGTGGCAGTGACATTTATTCGGTCTAATATGACGACATAATGGGCCTTGCAGCAAAACAAATTCATCAGGTCTAGGTCGTTTTCTATGGCACCGGTTGCTTCATCATTAGATGTGTTATGAATTTTTTCAGTAATAAAAATAATAACAATCACAAGGGTTACATGTTACTAAACTTGCTATTGCTTTATAAATTCGTGGTAGAAACCGAAATGTTTTCTGTATTATTGATTTGATTAGTATATGTAAGTAAAATTGAATAAATTTCACACGTTCTTTTGACAAGAAGTAGAATTTAAAAAATTTATTGCTTTTCTCTTCAAGTATACTTATTGTTAAATTGTTAAAAAGTTGTTCATGATGTATTAATATCTTGTGACAGCACCCGTCGATATTGTATCACATTATTAATAATACAGAACAATGGCCTAGTCATGTTATCTATTATCATATACATATACTGGAAACATAACTCTAAGAAAAAAAAATTGATGATGGTTTCTCGCAACCGAAACGTTGCAATGAAAATCTAAATAAATATACAGTGAAATTCCTTGAAAAAACTTGAAAAAGAGTTTTCAGATTTTAAAAAATTCCTCTAAATAAAAAATATACAGACGGTTTTCGAAATCGCTACATTTCCTTTATTTCAAAATATGTATGTAACTCAAAAAGTGCTAGGACCGGTCTGCAAGCACCATTAAGTTAGCAACAGAACTGTTTAAAACTTTCCTCATTTAACCATTTTCCTATTTCTTATAGTTTCCAAAATACCAATACATGCATCACCAAAATGGTCCATACTGTACAGAATTCAAAACTGTAGAGGAGATAAGCTATAAATTTTTTTCTAAAAATTCTTTGTTGAGGAAATAGTAGATGTTGAATTTCCGATGAAAAAATCTAATTTTTTTAACCATCTTCCAAGACATTTTTTCGGAAACTGAAAAATATAGGGTTTATATATTTTTTATACAGGGTGTTTATTAAGTACTTGTACAAACTTTAAAGGGTGAATCTTTGACTAATTTTAAGATAAACAGTTCATATGAACATGGGCCGGTTTGGTTGGTTGGTCTTGAGATACACAGCGTCCAAAAAAAATTTTGTTTGGTATTTTAATTAAGCATATTTTTGTTTTTGCGATTTTTCTTCTAATTTTATAGTATGTAATTTGTAAAGTGATAGTGTAATATAGCACATGACTCTTTCACTTGTTTTTCGAAAACTTTTAATGGTTCAACTTAGAAAATTCCAACACAGGTTTAACTTTAAACCCATTTTTATACAAAACGGCTGCTTTCAGCGACAAATGCTATGAGTCCTTCTGTGCGTAAAAAGGAATGGAGAAAACTTGGGTATGTTTAGGCAAAAATGACATCCAGTGCGATAAAAAAAAGTTATGGTTATTTAAATCCAGGTACAACATTGTATGTGGCGACCTTTAACATTAAACAAAAAACTAAGTACTTAAATATTTGAGTTTCTCATCATCAATACCCCCAGTTTCCCGAATTTCATCAAATGCCATGTTATTGAACAAAAATATAATCAAAATAAAATAAAAATTTTCTGGACACCCTGTTTCTCAAGAACCGTTGTGAACCCATATTCACATTATGAACTTTTTATCTTAAAATTAGTCAAAGATTCACTTTTTAAAGTTTATACAAGTACTTAATAAACACCCTGTATAGTTCATAATCTGAGTTTCACAGTAATAAATTGTATATAGTGGCGAAGATATAGGCGTGACAACTCCCTTTCGTTCAGAAGAATTTTGACGGCCCTGATTTAAACAAAATACAGTTTTTTGATAACTTTTAAGAAGAAAAAAAATATTCTAATCATTTGTAATGTGTTCCGTTTTCAAATTATTATCTTACAAGGATCGAATAATTCTAAAACAGAACACATCGAGGAAAAGTTGGAAGAGTACTTTTATTTTCCAAATGGAATCAACAATTAAAAAAAATTATGCCAAATTTTTTTAAAATCGGCTTTTCAACTACTGAACTGCAGTGATTTATCAGGTTTAACACTCGGTACTACAGATTCATTACTACAGATCATAGACAGTATAATAAATTTCAAGTTTCTTGAAAAAGCGATTTAGGAGATATTTCTAAACAGTTAAACATTTTTTGGGCTTTATCTATCTCCTCAATGAAACATTTGAAGATTGTTGGTTCATCTTTGGAAATACAATCTCTTAATACAAGATTCAAACAAATTAAAACATTTATTAGATTTTTTTGGAAAAAATTTTTCAATTTGTATTAGTTTATAACACTTTTAAAATAGAGCAAAACATATTTAAACAAGTTAGAACTGAAAATATGTCCAAATTAAGTAATATGTACTTCGTACTTTGACAGGACTCCGCTTTTATTAACTTGTTTATAGACACGTTGAATGGTGAAATAAGGTGATAATCGCAGTAACAAATTTTTGTATCTGTGTCGAAGTCGAAATAGAATGAAAGAGAAAGAAAGTAAGCAGTACGAGATATGTGAGCATATTGCATTTATTATTCGCATCCAATTTGCACTATTTGCAGATTCGCGGCAAACATACAATTTATGATATTTTATGTTATTGACATATTTTTTATATAAATAATTTCAGTAGGTTTGGTGGAATGCCTTTAACTTCGAAAAATAAGGTGTTAATCGCAGTAACAAATTTTTGTATCTGTGTCGAAGTCGAAATAGAATGAAAGAGAAAGAAAGTAAGCAGTACGAGATATGTGAGCAAATTGCATTTATTATTCGCGTCTCATTCTCCAATTTGAACTATTTGCAGATTCGCGGCAAACATACAATTTATGATATTTTTGATGTTATTGACATATTTTTTATATAAATAATTTCAGTAGGTTTGGAATACTGTTCTGTCAACAGTCGTGTGGGCAATTTTATGTAAAAACAGTCCATATTTAAAAAGATAATTGTTAATTATTATAATAAAAATATTTATTTTCTGTATCCTTTGAGAGAAAAAGGTATGAATTTAATCAACATTTATATCTCGATCTATATGCTATACTTATATTTGCCCGCGATGAGTTTTTCATTAAATAAAAAGTAAATTTTACTCAATTGTAGAAATTCAAAATATTTTTAAATTTCCATTATCTAAAATTTATTTACCATCAATGAGAATAATATATTAATTGACTACACACGGCACTATGAGACTATACCGATTGCTACATACAATTGCAAATAAGTACAAATTAAAAAACCTAAATAAAATCTAGGAAAAGTTTTTATCCAATAACT